CGGAAGTAGTTCTGGCCGCTCAATAAACGCAAATGCCAATCAATCAACGCAATGAAATGTTTATCGGAGAGTAATTTATACATATCCAGTCTTAATACAAGTGCACGGAAGTTTTCAGAATTTTCCGTTTACGTTTTCATGACAAAAACACTGATGTAATGTGAGAAAAGGCGATCCCGAAAAACCCGGAAGTAGATACTGGCACATTTTAAGATACCGGCACATTTGCAGAGGATCGAATTATGGATTTAGGTTAGGTTTATGTATGGGTCACTCACCGCTGATGTTCAGAATTCTTTGTTCAGTTTTCATGCAGTTCCAGAGAGTTCTAGTTTGGAAGTTGCCAGCCTAACTGTTGCCCCGCGGTTGCCGAGCAACGGGAAAACTTTTTGGGACTACTTTATTTGTTGTCATTAAATAAACTTTTGGCATTCATAAAAGTGATCTGAAGTTTATTTTGTGTGTTAAGTTGGTACAAAGCAGTATAATAAGCGGGATAATGTATAGCATACAGGTCATTATCGGAAAATAAGTACCTTCAGGGCGTCGGGGTCCGCTTCGCCCTGTCGGTACTTATTTTCCGATAATGACCTGTATGCTATACATTATCCCTTACATAACGTAGCCTACCTAAAGCGAAGGAGTGAAGCTCCCAGCTGGCATCGATGAAGTGTACAGTAACGCCGAGGTAGTTATCGTTGTTGACAGAGGTCCAGTGGTCCCCAGTCAGCGCCACACAACTCGCCTCTGACATCATCTTATCTTTTGCGGCTTTCTCTGTGGTGTGCTGGTCATGTATTCTCCTCATGATAGTTCGCCTCGCGGGTAGTTTGTAAGAAGAGTCACCTGTTGCCGTCTGGAGAACAAGCTCGAGCCCATCATCTTCAACCACACTGATGGGCCGGCAGCTGGTGGCAATCCACTGAGCGAGGAGATTAGTTAGCTTTGCTGATAGAGCTTAACCTGGCAAAAGCCAGATTGATGATTGTGTAGAACTCTAACGCGTTCTCCGCGATATCAATCTGGGATTTCTCCCGGAGAATCCTTTCGGGGAAAGGAGGGGTAAGCAGCAGAATACTTGAAGCTGATTGGGCGAAGTGACGCTGTGTGCCCGCCTACCAAGGTTGCCGTCCAGAAATGTACAAAGCGCCTCTCGCTGTTCATCTTTCAAAAAAGAAATTGGAGATTCTGCTAAAACTGACTTTGCGTCCGTCCTCCTGCGTAGCCATGTTTGTTTTGCTTCGGCCCGGCACTTCTTGCTTTCGTCAAACCCGGATATCCCGCCCTAAACCCCCAGACTGGCGCGTGATTGGCTCGCACACCCAGTGGTTCGACTCGAAAAGTGTAAGCGGGAGCGGTACAAGATGTATTCTCGAGTGTTTGTGAACTCACAAATACCGCGAGAATTCAGCTTGCAGGCAAGGTTAGATAGAGCTGTGCTGACGGGCTTGCCTCGGTTGCACTCAAGCATAGTAGTTTGACGACGACACTTCCCCGGCGCTACATCAGTGCTTGGCCAGGCATCTTCCTCCGCACTAGCTACGGGATGCTTTGCTTTTAGGTGGTACTTGAGACTGGAAGAACTCCTACAGTAAACAAATTCCCCTTTGCACAAGGTGCAAACAACCTTAGTCTTGTCGTAGTTTCCATTGGGAAGCTTCTTAAAAATAAATTTTCCCTGAAGCAAACCCGGTGGCGGCTTCGTAGCTGTATCCATGCTAGCACGTCACGTTTTTTGTGGTAATGTCACAGTAAGCATGCATGTACACAGGTTCGAAGATTCGTTCGCGACCCCTACAATGCAATTCGGCTAGGTATACATCCGCGCTAAAGTCATCATAGCTTGCGTAGTATAGATCCCACTCCCAACTCAACTTTGAGAATAGATTAATGACGATATTTTTTTTATCGCCCGACAAGACTATCGCGTTAACGCAGCACGTTAACGCGATAACGGCCCGCCACTAAAAAAAATGAAATTAAAAGTACTTAAATCACCTAACCTTATTAACAGAAATCACTCAAACATAGTAGAAATTCTGCAAAATCTGAAATATAAAGATAGTATACTCCACATATTTTAACTGTACAGGTATCCTCAGTACATGAATCAGCATGTGTCCAGTATGTACAGTCTGAGTATGTACACTCAAACAGGCTAAACATTTGTACCAATCATATAATATACACATTCACGTTTGTCAATCAATCCAATAACTTTTTTTGTCCATGAAGAAATCACACATTATGCTTTTATCCTTTTCCCGTATTATTTTAAATCCTCTAAGTCTGGCATCTTTGACTATATTTGGAAAGTGTTTGTTTATCCACCTCCAGGGCTTCCCACTCAAATCAGCAGATTCCAAAATACTAATGCTTTCTAGTCTGAACTGAAAAATAGCTAGCCCAAGGAGTGCTTATGCAAGTGTCTCATGTAATACTTAAAGTGTATCATAAAAAACGTTATTTCAAGTTATATACAAGCACATACTCTGCTTCCTGTTGCGCCACATTTCCACATCGACCCAGATAAAATAAGTGATGAGCTTGACTGTTTAATTGCATCTGTGGTGGCTAATGACAGCATGACCTTATTTAGTAATGGCGGGTAATTGAGGAGTGGTTATTACAGGCCACTGCCACCAGGTCTTGTCCTGGGAGGTCTGGCTGCCAGCGTCTGTCTGTCTTGTCAGCCTGAAGAATCCAAACCAGATCATTTATAATGTAACTTAGAAAGGGGATGATGAGTCCAGGCTAGGGATGCGTACGCTGTTCTGACACGGCTGGAATTAATGTTCTATTATGAAGCGCTTTTGAACTTGTTTTTGAAGCGTCATGAAAAAAAGATGTTTCAAAGATGTGAAAATCTCCCATATTTATTTCTGAAGACGAAAGGCATGCGAGCCAAGTGTCTTTTGTCGCAGCCAGGCCTTTGAGTTTGTGTCCATACGGCGATCTTAATGAGCCGTTGACCTTACAGCATTGATAGCCCGCAGCGAATGTAAATAACTGCTTGGCTTTCAACGTTCTATTAAATCAATGACTCATCAGCACTATTTGTTGCACACAGCATAACTTAATTTTCTTGACTTGATTGAGCTGATCTACATAAAAATTGAATTTGCCCCAAGATGGATTCATGCTTCATAAGGAGTGTGGTAGTAGCTGCACGGAGCATGACAGGAAATCGCAAAGTGGTGCAAATGCAGTACATGACCTTTTGGGAACGGATAGATTTACCCTATTGTTAAACAAAATGAAGAATGATCTGATTGTTATAATTTTTGTTTTTATTGTGAGAGTGCAACAAGACTAATCTTGTTTGATTTAATCTACATATAGAATTCTGCAACAATATATAGCATAGTATACATGCTGGATACATGGGGACTAGAGATGTAATTGACGATTCATTTGTTGATCGACTGATTATTCTTTCAATTCATCATTTAGTTGTTTAGATCATTGGTTCAACCTATTTATTACTGTGTACCTCCAGCCAGCAGTCCACAGGTGCAGATGAAAGTGGCCAGATTTGGGGGTCCCATCATCAGACAATGAGACAGAGGGTGAATAGCAATGATCAGACTACAGCTTAAATCCTAATGATGGCAGATAAAGTAGGTGAAAGGAGAGGATTCTGGATGGTTGATAGGTAATGATAAAAATAACAATAATAATAGTAAGAATCATAATGCATTGGTTTTATAGAGCGCTTTTTTGGTGATAAACTGCTACTCTTGGCACAGCTGCCCTAGGGATGATTTACTTAGTATGGGCTTCCATGGCCCATTCCCACCTCTGCACCTTCTCCACCGACTCCCACTGATGACTGCTGTCGTTGTGTCCTTGGGCAAGACACTTAACCCAACTTTGCCCAAAGCCCCCACTGAAAGATCAAGGCTATGCTCACACTCAGAGAGCAGCCGTCCTCCTGTGGACTCACCACCTGCAGAGGGTCAGTGAGGGGCTGGTGCTATGAGACTTGGGTGGCATCTCTGACTGTCACCCCCCTGACCCAGAAATGGATTAAAGGGTAGAAAATGGATGGATGGATGGATGGATGGGCTTCCATGGCATATTATATCTCATTTTAAATATTAATCTCTCAAGAAAACAACTACTCCATTGAATTGATTCAAACTGTATGGAGAAGATTCATTTTATTCATTCAATCAGTCAAGACTTTTAAGCCTTTCGGTCCAGTTTTAGTTCAATCCAGACAAACACTATCTGAAGTCAAATTGGTCAAAAAATTCATACTATAATTACTAATATTCAAAACTTCTTCTTTTGAGTGCGGGTAAGTGTAAGTGCATAAATATACTTCTTCCCACTCCTTTCGAGCTGACTTTTTTTTAATAAAACAAAATATACTGTATATGTATTTTTGTTGTTGTTGTTTTGTTGTTGTTGTTTGTTCTTGTCTGCCATGGCTCGAAAGTATTCATTCATTCAAACTGAAGTAAAATGTAAGTAGTCCTTTAGTCTAAAAAACCTCATGATGAAGTAATGGGTCATTCAAGTCATGTGCAAAGTATTCCGTTATCCTTTTTAGTAACTGTTGAATGTACAATGATGTGGATATTTTGTCTTTATAATGATAATTAGTAAACAAATACAACTAAATCAATTTGCCAGACAAAAGTTGGTTGACAAAAATACTGATTCTTCTACAGTCGAGAGTCAAGATGATAATACTGGATAGAATTCTGGCACTAGTCTACAACAAGTATGCCGAACAAACCCTTAACCTTTGGATTAGCAGGAGGTAAAGTCAAAACCCTTGACAACAGTGGATTTTTTTGCAGCAACAATTGTTCCAGATGAGGACACGCGGTGACCAGCGTTTCTTTATGTATCACTGTCAAGTTTTTTCAGTGTAATCTACAGACAGTTGTTCAAGTCAATTCTATTCTATCCATGAGCCGTCCACAGAGTGTCACGATGCCCGTCTCCTCTCTGCTTCTCCTCACTAACCTTTACCACTGTTTTGACAGATGCTCTGCTGCTGGTCGCGCAGAGGCTAGAGGGACCTTTCAACATTGAATCTGTTATGGAGCCTATTGATGTGAAGATTTCAGAGGCCATCATGAATATGCAAGATAACAGCGCCCAGGTTTCCTACAGGGTACGTCAATTATCTTTATTCCACCAAGCTTTATCTTAAAAGCTCCACATCACAGCTGAAGTTTGCCAAAGCGGAACTGCTAACCCTGCTCTCTCTGTAAGGTGTGCGCTGGTAACACATGCTCATTATGTCCAAGTTTAGGTTGTGAATTTGAATTATATGTTAGACTTTGGTCAGATAATCTTAGTTCAACTAACAGTAGTTAATGTGTTTCCTGGGCTTTACTGCATTCTCCTTTCACCACAAAATTGTAGTCAGGACGTCAAAAAAATGTAGGTGGTTGTGAAGATATCCGACTGCCTACACACATTTAGACGCCAACTCCTGTTCAGTGAAATGCCCTGTTGGTTTTCCCAGGCAACAGATGCAGCTTTGTTTATGGCTTAAGTATATGTGGCGCTTTACCCCAAATCCCATAAAATTTGTACCCTGTCATTATAAATAGCCAAAAGTTGAATCATCTATCAGAACAGCGGCCGCAGATTGACGTAGCGCGTTGTCATGTACGGTAATGCGGGGTGAATGTCTCTTGGCCTTAAGCAAACAAGTTCACCCTATTTTTTCCTGCCTCCGGGGGAAATTTCAGACGTTGGACTATGGGTTCACCCGTGTCTGTGTAATTGCAGGTTTTCCAAGGTTGCGGCCAGCCAAAGCCCGCAGGAATGAGCCGATCCGCACGTGGTGTTTCGGACGTGTTCACTGCCCGTTTCAAGCCCTACAGTCCAGAAGAGCGACCGACCACTGCAGCTGGCACGAGCCTCGACAGACTGGTGAGGAATACGCTGTTTTTTAAACACACCCAGACACTGCTTTCTTGGCGTAAACATCGTTTGTCTTTCTTGACTTGACACTGTTGATTAAAGCTGGTGATTTGCCACCTTAAGCCCCCCAGAGCCGGAAATTAATTCTTTGTACTCTGTGAACCATTCAAGTCCCACATCTCTATTGATTTGTGTTAACGAAATCCACAGCTCTATAGTTGGAGGCCAGGGGAAAGGTGTGGCATGACACTTTCCCTGCCCTTCGCATCCTTGTTTGTACTTTGCAAACAGAGAGAATAGATGGCCTGGAGGAAGAGACAGATGGGTCTTCGAAGGCTCGGTCGTATCAATTGTTTTCCGTAACACCAACAAGCCTTTATTTCTCATCAGATTACGCACATGTTAGTGGGATTGGATTGTGATATATGGATTTCCTTTTCCTGCCACCTTGAGAGCTAAGATGCCGCGGGGGCTAAAGGTCAACACAAAGCTGGCAGTTCCATTGAGCTGAGCATGGATTCGCCTTCCAAACTCTTCTCCCATATACACTACACAGTGAAATCTACAGAGTTTAAGAAAGTTCATTATGCCATCTTCCTGAACAGACTTGATGGATTCTGCTAATACGAGAAATGTGTAAAAAAGCAAACCAGGTAATAAGCATGAACTCGCACTAAAAAAGGCAATTAAGCAGTTCTAGCTTTTGACACGTATGTCTTATTAGAAGAATCACTCAAGTCTGGAATCTACTGAACATAAACTTTAGAAATATTCACCTGTGTTTTAATGAGGTTGGTCAAAAGCTGTCAAACTCGACGTATTCATTGCGTTTAGTGAAGTTGTAATTTTCCCCTCACTCAATTCGCTCTCTAAATGCCTGTTGTCTGTAATAATTATGTTATTTAGCCAGTGCAAAAACTCCCTCTTCACCATCTGGCTCATAGAATCCACAAATAAAAGAGTGATTTGTTTTATTCAATACTAATTACATTTCTGTTCTCGCCCATTCATTTTTGCTCGTCTTGTTGTTGACGCCCCGTACAAGCGCCTCTGCATGTGCCCAGTCGTCATGAATGTCCAACTTCTGCTTCCCCCTACAGCTAATTAATTGAGTCTGTTTCTCTGCTTTTATGCTGCAAACCAGAGGAATGTTTGGAATGAGATGCAACACAGTGTAAGGTTCAACGTTTTCTTCCTCATCGTGTTTGTGCTTTGAATTCTCTGTTGTATGTGTGTATGTGTGTGTGTGTGTGTGTGTGTGTGTGTGTATGCCGGTAGTGTTGAGTGCGGGTAAGTGAAAGTGCATTCAACAATGTTTCCACTCAAAAAGATATGTTTGAATGGAAGATTTGTGCATTTGATGCTTTTAGAAATCCATGATAAACTACAAGGAGTTCTGGGAAATATTCGGCACATTCACTTTTCAATATGTTCTTGTGGAAAGTGGTATTCAGAGCTCAAAAGAAAAATGTCAAATGTGGTTCTGTGCAAATGTTAGTGGCCTGTAATATTCCTGCTGGGAAGCTGTTGATACGTAGAGGCTGATACATAGATATACATATATTTCCTGTATTTTCAATTCAATACAATATATTACTAAGCTATTCAATACAATTCAGTAAAAACTATAGACTTCATAAAAAGTCAATCTGATTTGTTGTGAGAGGCACAAACCGATCTCTACTCACACTGCACTGTTTGTACTATATATATTAATATATATATATATATATATATATATACTATATATATTACTATATTTATTAAACATCTATATAATTATGTATATTTTAGTGCACCCTTTGTACAAATCTGAAAAAAACAAATGCATAATCCATGTCAAGTGCATGCATTTAATAATCAACACAAGTATCAATGACACATTGAGCATAATCAAGCTTGAAGAGCCATTAATCATGTGTTTTATGTTTCATAGCAAAGGAAGGTTTCTCACCCATCATCTGTACTTCTTAGCAAGTTTTCCCGACGTTTTGTCCTCAAACCAGCGGACTTCTTCATTCCCTGAAGAAGTCCGCTGGTTTGAGGACGAAACGTCGGGAAAACTTGCTAAGAAGTACAGATGATGGGTGAGAAACCTTCCTTTGCTTTGACTAATCCCTGTACGACTGAGGGCTTACACAAACAATTTTATGTTTCATGTCCTTCCTTATCGAGTGTTTCATACTTTAGTAGTTCGAGAAGGATTTAAGATACCCAATATACTATTTTTTTTTCCCAAATGGGTGATACAGGTAGAATAGGTTAAAAATAGATATTATAGATAGAAGATAGATAGATACTTTATTCATTCCCCGTAGGACAAATTCAGGTGTCCAGTAGCAGAAGACACATCCATATAAACACATAAGTACATCCATTATAAATATTTCTAACCAACTGACATTTCTAGCTAACAACCTAACTATAGTACACATTTTGTTGTACAGTCTGACAGCCGAAGGGAAAAAAGATCTCTTGAAACGTTCCGTTCGGCAGCGCAGTGATAGGAGCCTATTACTCCTCTGAGTGGCCATAGTGTCATGCAGAGGGTGTCTGGAGTTACCCAGGATGCCCTGCATTAGAGCCCTCATCCGTCTCTCCAGCACAGCTCCCACAGAGTTCACACTTCTCCTCATCACAGAGACACATTTCCTGATCAGCCTGTCGAGCCGGTTACTGTCTCTTGAGGTCAGACTGCTGCCCCAACACGCGACCCCAAAGAACACGACAAAATATGTGCAACATCTGACTGCTTACATCAATGGAAAAAGAGTCTTTGGTCCAGGGGGACTCCCAGATATTTGTATGACTGTATCACTTCGATGTCTTGTCCATTTGGTGTGACTGGTTGATGGGAAGGGCTCCTGTGATAGTCTCAAGATAGATAGATAGATATTTTAGGATATAGATTATACAGACTTATTACATGTTTGAGCAAAATGACGGAGCTTGCATGTTTGCATATCAGATCACAGTTTATTCATAATTCTTTACATAAAAAGCAGTCCAAAAGATGCCTTCAGACTGTTGCAATGCTTACCCAGGAAAACAGCAGAATGATGAACCCTGTGTGTAGCTGCTACTGGGGTTGGCACACTCAGCTCAAGCATTTCACACTTCTCTTGTGAAAGACTGTGTGTATTACGAACACACCCCATTAAACGGGCATATTACAATCGCTAATAGTAATGTTCTGGGGAAATCCGTCCAATGAGAGGACGCCAGTTTGTGATGCAGCTGGTGTTTCTGTTATGGCTTAATGAAGACTCAATACGGCTCTATGAATAACATTCTCAATACAGAACCTATATTACAGACACATGAAAACTACCAGGGAGATACCAGAAAAATCCTTTTGTGAGATTTCAGAAAATGATTGCAGAGGCTGAAGAAGATGCATAAGGTGACATTTCAGTAATGCGTTCTTTGGCAGGCTCCTGGAAAGAAAAATAAAACGCTTTTTTGCAGTTTTATCTTTAGGCTCTGGTCTGACTCACAATTATAGCATACAGCTGGATGTGACAAATGGCCTCATTCTCTACAGCAAATGACTTAAGCATGTACAATGCGTTTAAGGATAATTCGTTAAAATTGTATGGTGAAATTTTGTTTCAACAACTTTGTTTTAATGATGTTAAGGCAAGGCAAGTTTAATTGTAAAGCACAATTCATACACAAGGCAACTCAAAGTGCTGAACAAAACAAGAAAGAAAGAAATAATCACAGTACATTAAAAAGAAAGATAAAAATATAAAATCCCTCAGTTGTATGCACAGCTAAACAGAACTGTTTTTAACCTGGTTTTAAACATTGTCAGAGAGGAGGCCTGTCTCACATCTTCAGGAAGAATGTTCCAGATTTTAGCAGCATGAATCTGAAAAGCAGCCTCCCCATGTTTAGTTCTGACTCTGGACACTAACAGGAGTCCAGTCCCTGTGCTCCTCAGAGTCCGGGCTGGTTCGTATGGTACTAACATGTCACTAATATATTTTGGTGCGAGGCCATGGAGAGACTTGTACACAAGCAGAGCTGTTTTAAAGTCTATTCTCTGAGCCACAGGAAGCCAGTGCAGAGACCTGAGAACTGGACTAATATGGTCGTACTTCCTGGTTCTAGTCAGGACTCGAGCTGCTGCATTTTGAATGAACTGCAGCTGTTTTACAGCCTGCCATGTTATTGATTCATTGAATGGGGGTTTGTATGGTGCGAGTTGAACTATGTCAGAATCAGAATCAGAATCATTTTTATTGCCACGTAAGTAACAGGAGGTCACAGACTAGGAAATTGCTTTGGCTCAGTGCAACAGTCAGAAAGAGATAATAAAAATAAGAATAAAAAACACTTCTAAAGAATAAATTTAAATTTAAAATAGAGTTACAGTTACTATTTACAATATACAAGTGCACATGGTGCACACAATGTAAGGTGACAGCAGTACAGTGAAGTAAAGTGACGTATGATGGGCAGTAAAGTGACTTTATAAAGGGCGGGGGGACAGGTTAAGAAGTGTTCAAGAGTCCAACAGCAGAGGGGAAGAAACTGTTCTTGTGGCGGGAGGTTCTAGTCCTGATGGGACCGCAGCCTCCTGCCTGAGGGGAGTGGTTGGAATAGTCCATGTGCAGGGTGAGAGGGGTCGGCTGTGATACGACCAGCCCGGCCTCGAGCTCGGGCGACGTACAGGTCCTGCAGCGATGGAAGGCTGCGGCCGATCACTTCCTCTGCAGAGCGCACAATGCGCTGTAGTCTCTGTTTGTCCCTGACTGTGGCTCCAGCGAACCACACGGTGACGGAGGAGGTGAGGATGGACTCGATGATGGCCGTGTAGAACTGCACCAACATCTGTGCGGGCAGCTTGGCTTTCCTGAGCTGCCGCAGGAAGTACATCCTCTGCTGGGCCTTCTTGATGAGGGAGCTGATGGTCGGCTCCCACTTGAGGTCCTGGGTGATGGTGGTGCCCAGGAAACGGAAGGACTCCACAGAGGTGATGGGGGAGTCCATCACGGAGGGTG